TGTACCTTGTCCCCATGATCCTCCTCCTACAGGTACCCCTCCCCCAACAAACATCCCAACCTGTCACTTGGAGTCCCCACCCGCCATCCTTTACATATTTCCCACATACTGTACATGTACATGTACATTTGTGTCTAAATACTGTTTATACATACATGTACATACATGTGCATTACAGGAATGCTCAGTACATACATGTATGTACTGTATGAACTACAGGGCAAGTACCCAATACAACTCAAAACTTTAACATTCAACTTTTATATTTTTTTCATAAAATTCATAGGCTTATAAGCATTAATGCCATATGAGACTACATGTATTTAAATACTGATAGAATTCCAAGAGGAAGCAAACAAGCACTCAATGGCACATTTTAACACCTACGGACCTGTGTTGCAAGGAAAAACTTTAACATTTGAGGACGGCCAGACAGACAGCCCGACGGACGGAAAGAAGACCAAAATCGGTATTACATAGGCTCGCATTTGCTTCGCAGCTTGCCAAAAACCCCTTTTTTCCTGCAAGGGTTGAGGGGAAACCTTGGCATTCAAGTGCAAAAAAACATTTCTTGCCTTTCAGGGGAGAAATGTTTTCCATGGGTATATATATATACATGTATATATATTTTTTTGGGGGGGGGGAACAGATGTTCCAAACAGTTGAACAACAGAACAATTCACCTTTGACACCTTCAAAGTGGTGGGCACAATTGATTACTATTACACTTTCCAGGCACACTGAGTAAATCACAATCACAGTGCATGTAAGGTTCAACAGGAAATTGGGCCGGCAATTTTTCAAGCAATAGCCGACCAAAGTCCAAACAAAATTAGTTGGAAATTACAAATGTACCCCTTTAGTAACAAGTATGACAGGTACAAAAGACCTTTTTACACACTGAAATGCAGCAACTCTAATTACACTCAACACCTGTTTATTCTCTAGCTGTGGGGTGTTTTTGAAGAGGCTTACATGAACATGCAGCTGAAATTTGCTTATTTCCCTCTGGAACATGTCTCTGTCAGCACGGACCTCTATGCTCACTGAACCTTCCTCCTAAACCTCCCAGGTCCTTCAAAATCCATCAAGAGATTGGGTAGGACCGAGGAAGGAGCAGGCCAGCCACATTAACATTACTACGGTATACATGTACATTGTACATGTACATCACACATATCCATGGAGCTTGAAAGCATGAAGAATGTGCCATTGGTTTCCTACCAGTAAGCAGCAGAAGATATTGGAAGGTTCAGTCGAGGTTCCTTAGAAAATCAAATGGAGAGTTAGACCAAAGAGGTTCCTGAAAACAGCCATTACCATAGCAAGCTGGCATTTAGTCATGTTCTTTTTCAATATGAAAATGAAAAGGTCCTTCCCCCTTCACAACAAAGTACATGTATTTCCTCGCTGGATTTTTCTTTTTAAATTTTTTAATGCACCAGTATTATTCTTTCAGATCTCTGGTACTAAATATCAAATCCTTATGAACTAAACATCAAATTCTTGATTACTATATGCACAATCCTTGGGTACTAAATACCAAAACCTGCAGTACTAAATATCAAAACTTGGAGTACAAAGTATCAAATCTATGAGTGGTAAACTCAAATCCAAGAGCATTAACCCTAACCCCCAGGGTGAAAACATCATATTGAAATCAGAGGACTTAGGGCTGTTAGGGATAGACGTCGAATTCTTGTGAACTAAAAACGAAATCCGTGTGATCACAGCATCACGGCAGATTCTCAATTCAGGCTACTCGTCACTTGTTAATAAATTGCTCCAGTGGTGTTTCTGTAATGCATCCTGACCATCTGGTGTTTGAGAGTAAAGGTAGTGTATGTGTGTTGGGGGGACGGGCTTGGCAAATTGAGATCAGGCCCTTGGTGAACTTACATGTACCTGCAGCCTCTCCAGGTATCGGTATATTACCCATTGACAATGTACTAAAAGTAATATCAATGCAATTGTGGAATCTTTTTTAAGTAATAAGTGTGCTCTTTTGCCTGCATACAGTACATTTAGGTCCTTCCCTTAAATAACCCTTTCCCCCATCCACGTTTTTCTCTGGACAACAAGCTAATTACAACAAAATCCAACATGGCCTGAAAATGCAGGCCCTGAAATATTCAACAACATCAAAATGCAAAAGCAGATTTTGTTGCCTTGAATGATGTATTGGTATATATACGTGTACATGTAAAGTCTTGCATTATGCAGTTACACTGAGCGTGCCCTGCCCACGTTGCACGTGACTGCCTAATCCGCCTACTGGCAGCAACTTTTCACCCTAGTCACAGCTTCTTGCTTGGAAGATAGGGCCTATTGGAAGAGCAGTTCCAGGGTGATGTCAGCTTACCGGTATCTCATTTTAATATTGTGCTTTATGCATTTTTGCTTCAATCTCTGAGATTAATTTCAATACTGATCGGGCAAAGAGAAGTTCTGCTTCAGATTACGTGCCTTTTAAAAATTGGATCTGTAGGTTGGAATTTTTTTTTGGGGGGGGGGAATTACTGTTGTTAAACCATGGTCACAGACAGTGACTTTTTATTGGCTGGGAGCTGATCATGTGATATGCTACAAGCACTTCTGTGTCATTCACGTGTCGAGTGCACAGGTGATATTGCCGGGCCACAGAAAATGATGGATATGGGTGATCTTCCCCACAGTCGGTGTGTCCTGTCTACTGCATAGCATTTGTGTAATGTAATCTTGGGAACAAGGGTGAATAGCTGTGATGGTACTACGCGCCAATTACTGTAGATATGTGCAGAAAATCAAAGCCCTGTGTCCATTTGCATGTGCTACTCTCTTCACTCTGACCATGACGGAAACCCGCGGGTTATTAAACTTCTGTACGAGCACCCTACTCGGCTCGTGGAACATGAGTACACATATGCTCCAATCACTGTTTCAACTGCAATCGCCATTGCTGTTCATATAAAACACTCATACCATTGTCTCTATTTGGTGTAAATAATGTACAAACCACCGTGGGCCCCTACACCATAGGCAACAATTGTTAAGCGCTGAATGAACTGCGTATTCGATTATGTGCCCATTCCAGCCTGGACTATTTCTTTTAGCTCTGTGACAGCTATACAAAATTGCCACAAAAATGCGATAAAAATTTTTGGTTTAAATGTCCACATTTAATTTGGGCCACACGCACACTACGCAAAGCATGACAGGTCATGCCAGCAAACTGGCCAGCAGTGTCTGTATATTGCATGGCACACATGTATGATGTGCATGTATCTCGTCGGTGGGTGAGAGACCTCTTGTTGTGGCAGCAATTTGTGGAAACACGTCACTTAATGTACAACCTCAAAATACAAATTCATGAACACGGAAAATACATACATATGTAGACAAGAGAGATCAAGTTCTGTTTAGATTATTTTTGCAGAAATCTTTTATTCAAATCGATGTTTTTTTACCGTTAACTGCAAGGCACGCTGCAGGGTACGGTACCAACGCCATTTGGCCAGTCATATGCAGACTGGTTTCTGCGTTTCCATCATGCTATCTTTGCCAATTTCAGTGTGTGGCATGCATGGTGGGAACAAGTTCAGCATTGCTTAATTGAGTATTATTAAACCCATCGTTTCACCATGGCAACAGTGAATTGTGAAGGGAACTTTGGAAAAACAATGAAGATTGTTCTCAAAAACAGTGAATGTACATGCACATGTACATGTAGGCGAACAAATACTGGTAAATGGTAGCATTTTTGGTAAAAATGGTTGTTGAGCTACATGTACATGCATGTATTTAGGAAAAGAAAGAATAGACAACAATATCGTTTTAACCTTTTTTTTTAATTTTTGTTTCTAAAGTTACAGTACCAATAAAAAGTTCAGGGTTGCTCCGTAAAAACAGGGTTGGTGGGATATAAAACCGGAAACAGAACCATCACTCTGCATTACATTGTTTTTTGCCTTACTGTGTACATTTGTATTTTGTACATACATGTATCTCACAAAGAGGCTCCATATAAAATCATGCATAATAACAACACACAGTGAGGCCTAGTTGACTTGCACTATTTGCAGATGAAGGAACGTCACCATTGGAGAAGAAAGTGTCATTAACCCTAACACTCCTCAGTCCTCCAACAGGTGAAGGATTGAGGAGGGTTAGGGTTAAAGAAAAAAGTAAACCCCCCAACACAACAAAACAAACTTATGGACAGGCCCCAACTACTCACATCATTTGCTAGGTTGCCTGAGGCACCAAAAAATCTTCTCTGGCATTTTGACCTTCCAGGGTATCCATTTTTTCCCCCAACTTTAATTAAATATCAACTGCGTCACTTCACAGGTAAATTTGAGCAAGCACTGATCCGAGCTTTGCCAGATTGGGCAATTAAAAAAACAAATTTCAGCCAGGCCTGCTTCGGGGGAAAATATCATTTTGATACAAGGAATCCTGCGTTCTCCCACTGCTGTCTCTACAGTGCTCAACAAACAGGCTCAAGCCCCGTCTGAGCACTTCAAATGTGTTCAAATATTTGTCCAACGTTTGACTTGACGTGATTAGCTGATTGAAAGGGATCATCTGAGAGCTTTTTGGTAAGGAAAACACTGAAACTCAGCCCCCACTTGCACATCGTTAAGAAATGTAAACCTGCCAAAAATCAGGATTCGTTTTCAAAATTAAAATCAGTGAAGACAAGTTTAAAAAGACTGCCCAATGACAACAAACTCATGAAGTTAAAGTAAAGACAGAAACTGTCGACAAACCAAAAGATATTTTGCAAAAAAAGGAAAAAAAATGGTTTTGCTACAATAAGATAACGTGCTTGAAAGCGACAGGCACCACTAAAATGCAAACTACATGCAGGAACAGGGAAAAACATACAGGAATATATACATGAAGGCATGGCGACTTGCCAGAGAACCATTTGTCCAAGTATCCCCCCTTCTTCCATGACGCCGACTGCAATTCTGAAATTCTTGAATTTTCCCACAGATCTACTTACAGCAACTGGATCCGAAAAGTCAGGCAGGTCATACAGCAAGAAGGCTGACAGGCCTGAGGCAATGACGCAGACTACAATGGCCAAGCAGAGTAAGAGGGGATGTTGACTGATCAGCTGAGCATAGCTGTATGAACAGAGAGATTGGAGGAGGGATGGCGTTAACTCTCTGGTTTTCTGCAGTCACCTTCCTAAATGTGACAAACTCCAATGACAGCGGCATGTGAGTCCCGTCTCACAGAATCCACAGCAAACTTTGTACACTGCAACATCTGGTTTGCCCTTTTCAAATGCAATTTCATTAAGTGCACAGTATGCACAGTATGCACAGTACTTTTCAAGAGCTTGTCAGGAAAAAAAATCCTAAACTTCCTTGCTTGAATGGGACTAAAATGCACACCCTTCTGATTGTCTTCCTGAAAAAATCCAATGAAAAATTTGCACACTGTTGGACATGAATGGAAAATGGAAATTCAGGGAAAGCAAAACATATCTGATCTCTCAACAGATGACTTTTTCCCTATTTTGGATTTAGTAGACTGCATATTTTGGGTGGATTTATCTTCAAGGATGGACATGATCGTAAAGTACCTTTACATGCAGTATGAGTATTTGGAAGTTGAAAAGAATTAACTGGAAGAATTCATGGTTCATGAGTTACAAAAAACTCTTTCTAAAGAAACTGTGACTTTCTTTTACCCTTGACAAAGATTCTGCTCGGATTGAAATGTCAGGCCCTCCTACATTTTAAAGCTGCGACTGATTGATACTCTGTCCAGCAGATAAATGTATATTAAAATGTACATCAACGTGGGTAAACATGTCTGAATGTATACATGTACATGTACATAGCCTATGTACATGTGTGTATGTTACGAGAGAACACACTTCTTTGAGTGACCAACAAATACAAGAGGATAGTCACCTGAAACAGCATCGATGGCGCAGGCTACACGCCCACGGCCTGCGAAAGCCATTCCAGCCATGCCGGCTAGTTCCCGATGCATCTCTGACCTTCATGTTGAGGCTGTGGAGTCAGTGACCACAGTGTGGGCTGTCTGTCTACTCACAGGCATCTTGGTGTTTTGTTTCTCTCTCTACTTCTGGGAGGTGATGATTCAATGTTTGGATGGCCCTCACTGAAGCGGTGCTCAGCCTGGTGAGGAGAGCACAAAAATAATAATAATAATAAAACCCCGACATAAATGCAAAACATTTTCTTTTTAATTTGGTCTTGGTTTTTGTCCCAGAGGGGCTCCTGGTGAGACAGGATGCTGTGGTCAACTCGAAGCGTCTGTGTGGGAATCATGAGTGGCGGGGGAGGGGGGAAATAGATCAGGAGAGCCTGTTACATGTACATGTAACAGGCTGAAAGTGTGTCAAGAGGTAACCTGGGGGGAAATGGATGGGGACTCAATAGAATAGCAGGAAGAAGGGGGGGATTACATGTATATGTACATATCAGTGGAAAGGAGCCTAATGTGGAATGACAAAAAGTTGTGGAGAGAACTTGGAAAGGAATGAATCTAGACAAAGGACGGGAAGCAGGGAGAATATGCAGAACTGCAGATCAAAATTTCTGCCTGCTGAGCAACTGAGGGATTTTTTAACCTCTGTTGGCATTAAAAGGGAAAGGTTGAAAAAAAAAATTGGCTTCACAGGTGTGGGCACCGACACAAATGTGCACGTGATGGCGGGGACGGGGGAAGGGGCACTGGAATGATGACGAAAGGCTCATTAGGGTAAGAGGTGTTGTCCCGACAGAAGGGGGGGTGAAAGGAGAAGAGGACAGTGAGCAGGAGGACATGACAGCCCTGGGGGAGGATTTGATGAGGGGGAGGTGAGAGGGAAAGATGAGACTGAAAGATACAAAAAACAAAGCAGACAATTCTTCAGTGATACATGTATGATTGCATCTGGTACAGGTCCCATTAGTACTTTGTCCGTGGACACGTACCGGTAGTACATGTGGTGAATGAGTAGACAGCGTCAGATTTTTAATGACTGCATACCGGTAGAATTCCACCGGAAAATGAGGAGAGATGTTGTGAGGCCTTTTCAATGCCGCTATCCTGTGACCTTCAATTTTGTTGCATTAATGCATTTAATTCAGCAGCAGAAGTGAATGGCCACACAGTAGGGCAGATTTTTTTTTTTTTTTTGAGGGGAGGGGGGGCTTTTTTTTCCCGGAACACTGAATTCACTACTTTGTCACGACTGAATTGAGTGTCCGTGATGATGCATCCGTTACCGTGGTTTCCAAGCTTTTGCTTAATGTGGGCACCTTGCTGTACACAACAGCCGAGGCATTTGGGAAAGCTTATGAGTTTAAAGGACACAGGCTCCCTTTGGGATTTTTGGGGCAAGAGAGCTAAGAAAAAAAATGCATCAAAAACATTTCCAGCAGTGCAAAAAAGGAATTTAGAAATACCCTTCCAGCCCACAGGGACATGTGGCCATAATGTATTTCCTGTGCACAGGTACGTGTTTATGTGAAGACAACACAATTTGGAAAGCGTGTGTACTCGTACTCTGTAAAAAGGCTTTCAGACTTGATTTCTTTGCAAAACACCCATAATGCAAGAGGCCAGACTTCTAAAAGGAAAATTATTATCATTTACAGTGTTTCGCCTTCCACTTGACGTATCCTACTGTACATGATGTACTGGTTCCAGTACATGTACGGTGGAATGTGTACCCTACACCAGACACCTACAGTTGTACATGTATCATACACGACATTTCATCACTGAAAAAGTTGGTATCAAGTCTGATTCACAGCCATGGCTCAAAGTGTAGACTTGACTTTACATTGACAAATTGCAACAGTTCTTTCACATCAGACGTGTTGCACATTGACGTGGACAATGTACAGTATGTATATGTAAGTACATGAACAGTACAGCATGCCCGTGCCATGATAACGAGCACGCACTGGCTCTGTGCATACATGTACACTGTACATGTACATGTACCGTACATACCGTACTGCAAACTTTAATGCTAATGCTCGGGTATACATGTACACGGTATCCACTTCATGCCTGATCCACCATGCCCATTTTGGCGGCACAATGTTAATGTGCACAAATGGGAAAAACATGGCCATCTAAAGATTTGAAGTCAAGTCTACAACTGAAAGAGGAAGAATTGAAGAAAAAACCACGGGGGAGTGGGGTGAAAAAGCTCTCTCGCTAAAAAAAAGCTCTTGACCATGTATCCTGCCACAGAACTCGCAATTACCCGGATGATGACAAGAACTCCCAGATGGAGTGAGGGCCCTTCATCACACATTACAGCTTCTTCAACCTCAAATCCAGTGCTCAACTGGCCCATACCAGGCAAGAGCTTGAGGCTGACAGCACTCACACCCTCCTGTCACTTACATGTACATGTACCTATACATACATGTACATGTAGATATACAGGTATCACCAAAAAACAGTTCTCACAGCCAGAACAAAAAACACATCTCTGGAAACAGCAGCAAAAAAAGGGTTTTGGTAACGGCAAGTTTTGTGATTTTCTTCAGTGACACAAGAGAGTGAATTCTTGAAGTTGAAAGGGGACGCAAAGAGTCAAATGGTTTGGATTTGGACTGTTTAAAAAGAAATGAGTGCTTTGCATGCACGTACACCTGTACCGGTAGACACATGACATCAAAGATACACAAAGACATCCCAAGGAAGACGACAAAACAAACCTCACAACAAACCCATGAACTCTGAAATCATTTTCAACAAAATCCTTGTTTTCCCTAAAAAATGTTCCCTTTTAATGTTTTTCTGGAAAACTTGCTGTGATTGCATGGGGCATTTATGGGAAACTTGTTTAACTACATGTACATGTAAGAAAGTACTAGTACATGTACATGTAAGTCGTAACTACATGTACAAAACCTGTATCTTGCAGCATTTCACAAATAAAAAGGAAACTACATGTACATGTACATGTACCTGCAGTACAACAGCACCGGTAATCTCCAGAATACACCCTAAAATACATTGCAATATGCATGTACCGGTACATTGTACATGTACGTGTAATCTTTAAAATTTGCATTAATTAAATCCCTAGAAACATATGCTACGTGTTTTCATGTCTCTGTCTCATAAAATGTGACAACAGGCTCTTCTTGTTGCTAAATACATGTACATCTTAGCATGCATCTCATACATGTATGAGAAAACCTTTTACATTAAACAATTTGAGTACAACCATACGAGTATGCAACTCAATGTACCGTACATCGTTCCAGTGTTTTCCACAGTGTGGAAATCTGACACACTGCCAAGAATATTCTTTGCCTGCACTATGATTGTTTGGCAGGCAAAAGTTGTCTGAGCGTTTAATGAAAACTCAACGTAATTTTGCTGGAACTACATGTACGGTATACACGTACATGTAGAGTGAAAAGGTGTGGAGAAGTTCCATAGGACATGTACATGTATATGTAGGAAGGCCCATGTGAGTTGAAAGGAGTTAAAACAGGCATTCTAGCTTGCAACTCCAAGCAGTCAAGATTAAGTTACGTTAGGCCAGAGTAATTTTGATTTAATCATTAACAGCATGCTGGTAACCACAAAGGTTTTCCAGAGTCTTTTGCTCATCAGGTTTTTTCTCCAGGTTTTAGTCCAGTGGCCATTTACATTGTACCGGTATATAACTCTGAAACAAGGCAGGCTTGGATAAAACTTTGATTACACACCTACATGTAGCATTCGATTCCAACAATTATTACTGTTGGAAATGTTTGTGCTTATTGCCCTGTAAACACTCGAATAAAATTCAGCTCCATCTGCTGCAGGCAAGCTACCGGTACATGTACACATACATTGTATACCCTATGTAAAGGTGTACTGAGATGTGTTTTCCATTGAGTCTGAGGGAGTACTGTATTAGACTTGACAAGTTGTTTCTATAGGAAGAGGACAGGACTTACACAAATGGTGCATGTACCGGTACACGTACATGTACATGTACTGGTACAATGTACATGTATATGTATGCTGTATCATATGCTAAAGTCTACCGTAAACCCATATTCTTTGTGAGAAAGTGCTGACAGAGCATGGAGTTTTGATATGGATTTTTTTTAAACTTTAAATACTTCCTTAAATTTTGATTGCATTTGCAAAAACAGTAGAGCAACTCTATGTTCAAAACATATCACCTTAAACATGCTAGTACTCGTACATATACTCGTACGTACATGTATATGGGTGTGGGTACATAGATAGAGATTTCCCTGCGACATGAACAAATATGTGTACCTTTAATTCTGCCTTGCTTGTTTTCCACCACGAACAACTTGAGACGAAAACAGATTCAATTTCATTGGACCTCAGGGAAGGCTCCTCAATTTAATGCTGCGGGTATATGATTTTCTACTCAGATGTCTCCCGCACTAACTCGCGCACACACATACATGTAAATGTATGTGTACATGTAGTACATGTACACTACATGTACATCAGCAAGTTATATACCCTCTCACTCAAAACACGGTTTAATCTGGGTTACTGCTGTGTACATGCATAAACTACAGGTACAAGGCATTTTGAGACGCTTTATGGTAATCTGCCTGTCTGCTTTTCAGTGACTTTTCTTCAACTGTAAATTTATTAAAATTTATTTAAATTTACGTAAATATATTTTGCTGATCGTTAAAAATGTAACCAGCACAAACTTCTTAAGTAAAGAACACTGTATGTACACGTACATGTAGCTTTTCTTAGCTAGTTTTAAACAGTTTCTCTTTCTAAGTCACATGTGTAATACATGTAAGTGCACACAAAAGTACTGGTACCATATAGTAAAACCTCCCCGTGGGAGTAAAATAAGGGATCATCACTTTAACGTGTAGTCATCCATTTCTTTTCACTCGTTTCTTTTAATTCTATAAGAACTTTATGTTTTATGAGTCTTGACAATATTGCCACGTTTGATGTGCCAAATTGTTCCGGCAGACACAAGGAAATTATGCTTTAACCCCTTGACGACAGGAATTTCTTCCCGAAAGAAAGCCGACTCCAAGAATTCCAGACTCACTTGGCCACGAAGGCCACCTGCCAAACCGCAAATTCTCGGTTTGTGGCCCTGCGTGCTCTGCACGCTTTGAATTACACGGTGAAAAGGCTGATTGTTCGGTGGCATGCGGCTCTACTCAAGCTTCCACATTCCCGTTGCCTCTTTTCAAAGTGGGGACTATTGTGAAGCTGGTGATTATGATGCAAATTCGGTCTTTTCATTTTTGGGCTACACACAAAGGCCAATGACCATATATATAAGAGCCAGGGTCTGCCTTCTTTCACCGTGTTCGCTCAAGCGTGGGCCGAGAACAATAGCTGAAAAGCGGGCTGAGGATCTCAATTTTTACAGCGGCTCTATCTGCGTCCCGGCACGAAGGGGTTAAACACAAGGACAAGTGCAAGGCTACAGGTAATTTACTTTGCAAAGTATTAAGGTGATCGATATAAGACAAACTCAGTCTCTGAATGTTGTAATTCAACAACACCTCAATTGCAATGACAAATTCTCTGCAATTGTAAACTTACCCAGTACAATGTACATGTACCATACATGTACATGTACATTACATGCATGTACATGTACCAGTACATACCAGTCCATGTACATATACATGTACATTCAGGCAGAACCTCAAGTGAGGTCAGGACTATCTTTTAAACAACTCACGGTGAGGAGAAGAAAACAACAACACTTTTCATGGGCTTGAAAGTCTCAAGATGAAACAAATTTAATTTTGCCCTGAAACATTAGACACTTCCAAAAATAATTTGAAATACTACAGGTACCAATTGCACAGAATTGACCTCTAAATTACGAAGATGAAAGTTTCTTACATCCAAGAGACAAACAATGGATGTACACGTACAGGCATCCACAGACACGTACAGACAATGTTTGGAAAGAATACAGTAAGCACACTGTCGCACGACAGCAGCATTCTCTATCAGGTGGTTCAGGAATTGAGGATTAAAGGCCAACTTCAATGTACCAGTACATAAAAGACTTGGAGCTGATTTGTAATTTTGTTTTTACTTTTGGCCCTCGAAAATATAGAAAACTGTGAGTGGAACTTTTAAATGGAAGGAACACGAGAAATAATGTATTCTGTCTAACTACATGTACCTGTTTAAACAAGCAATGTCTTTGCCCACGTAAAAAATTTACAGTAAAGGCTAAAACTGAATCTGCCTTAAAAAGGAACCATTTCCAATTCATTTCTACTCACCTTTGGATGCTGCAGCCCCACTGTGCACACTTTCAAACAAATGGGACTGTCAAAACACTTGAATATGCATCTAGATCAGATGCACAAACAGGAAGTAGGCCTAATATGAAATTCTAGCTGGCACAAAATCAATAATATGAAGTCAATTTTAATCGGTTTGAGCAAAGCCCTTCACCATTCTTCACTTAAATAAATAAGGTCCAATTTCAACCGCAACTCACCTCTTACTCAACCACAGACAATTGTCCTGTCACTCAAGAGAAGCCACATTCACGAGAAACAACAAAACTGCACATCCCACGTCAAATGCTAGTGAGGCTAAAGAGAAAAAAACCGAAGCCAATGCTAGGAGGCTCCTCTCTCCAATGTGAACATGGTAAAATGCATTGAAAAGGCAAACACAGGGCAGCCACACACAAAATTTCAAGCAGGTTTGCCACTCAATTTCAAGTATTTTGGAACCTCCCCCCCCCAAAAACAATGTCAGCAACAAATTTCCTCTTGGCAGACTGATGCAGGAGATTCGAGCTTCCTGGCCGTGACGCATCCACGGTACACGCACACTGTGTGTGACGGGGGGCGGGACTCCTCACCGGTGTGGTAGTGCAGCGTGCTGTGATGCAAGGGGCATCTGCAGCTGTTGTCTGCAGGGATTGGATCACTGGAGGATCATGAATATTCATGATCTGGAGGTACGATACCACCGACACACTATCACTGCACATGTGCATGTATCTCACAGTGGAAACTAAAGCTGGCTGCATTTTGATTGGCTGAAGGGTATCGTGAATATCTGCAACTCAAGCTTACATGTACGTGTATGTATGCTGAGTACAATTGCACAAAAAATACATGTACACACTACACACGTGTACATGTACACATACATGTACATGTACACGTTTCATGTGCAAAAATACCAGTACATCTGTGCCCATCACACTGTGTTAATGCCATTTGCATAAAACATCAGATCAACTCTTTCTCAATATGATGGATGCAATTAAGTCTCAATACGGTTACGGTAATTGTTCCACCAGTTTAGTCATAAAATGCTTAATATAGTTCCACTTACTGGTACATGTACCGGTACACGTATCTTTACAAATGGAATTACATGTAAAAATATCTCTTTTTTTAAAATGACAAAATGGTATGAGTACCAGCAAAATTGACTATTTTAAAAGAACCAGGAAATAGAAATATTTGTATAAATTTTACTGAAACCCTTGAAATTGCATCTTTGGGTTTCAATTAACCTTATTTTAAATTTTAGTTTAGCAATTTTGACCGATATTTTGATGCTGATTTGGTTTTATGCTAATGCATATTTGCACACTGGCATATTCTTCATAAAATGGACCAAAGTGCAACTCCGGATGTCATTTTTCAAAACTTCTAAAAGAGTAACTCTGATCATGTAAAATACAAATTAGCACCTTCAGATTTTGAAAAATGATTATATGGGGATAATTAGGCATAATATGTACTTATCATGGTGGACATTTGGTTGGCTACCAGTGCAAATCAAATGGAGTTGAATTCATTTAAAGTTTCACGTCAAAGTGTTTACACCAGAGGACTTGATTTCAAAACCTCTCAACAAGGAGAATTCAGTATATTTTTCGACTGATGTTTTTTAAAGCACCAAAGAAACTACTTTTAAAAAATATAAGCCACGAAAAAGAGCACAAAATTGACAGAAAATGATGAAAAAAGTTTGTCTCTCTTAACTCTCTTACCGTTTATAATCACTCTCACTATACCAACATTTTTGGCAGGTCTTGTATCTTTCAACCACCAAACATTATCTTTAAGTTTGGCTGCATCAAAAATTTATAATGAGTACAATATGTTCGTTTGCAAACGACATATTTGACAGAATTTTGATGACGTTGACGTTGAACTTTGATGAAGAAAATGTGATCAGTCCAGTCGTAAAAGGATGATGGTTTAGCGGTGCTTTTTTGTACTCTTTTTAAAGCTTGTGTTGTACATCGATACATATGGATTTTAATCGCTTCTTTTGCAGTCAATTTTTTTTACACTAATGACAGAATCGAATGACATTCGCGACTGCCGACTTCGGGAGCTGATTAATTGTGAGAGGTTCTTTTTAATTTCGTGATTAAGATTTTAATATGAGTAAATATTATCACCTTTCACTCCATATAAATCTGTGTAAAATAACCTCCGGGATTATCACTCCTTAGTAAATTCTGTTGGCTCGGATTTTAACAGGGAGTTCATGTCCCTCAAAATTGCTAATGTTCGAGATTTTAATTAATTAACTCAAATTAAGTCGAAAGGTTGACACGGTCATCATTGTTCCAAATACATGTATCAGCCATGACTTCCCTCATTACATCAATCATTGGAAATTAATTCACTGCTATTCAATTCAGGAAAAATGAACCCCAAAGTTGAACATTATCTAATGGTCCATATTTTGAGGAATCTGCCATATTCATGAGCAGAACTATGATGTCATATTGCAAGGCATTGGATCTCAATGTTGCACTGATTTGTGCACAGAACATTTCTAGAGTTTTTTAACCACTGCTGTGGCAGATTTCATTTTCTTTGGCAATTTATTGCTGTGTAAGTATATGGCAATAATCCAGCAAAAATCCTTTACACGGAAATGTTCCCAGAAATGTTCCCAGCAAATTTGAGATTCACAATTTGAACATGAAAAAATGCAACCTGAACCATTTCTTCCAGGATTTACTTTAAAGCAAAAAGGACCCTCACTTGTCCAGAAATGTGTGGTCAAATTTCAATGTTTGAAAAAGTGCACCGTTCAGTTAAAAAACGATCTAAAAAAAAAGTGATTCTAAGAAAAATAATTTCCTGGATCCTTTAATGTGTACGGGTACATGTACAGTACATTATAGAGCTTTATATAAAAAGTTGAGCACTAGCCCTGTCGACTCATGTACAAATTAAGTGATGCATGTTGGGTGCCTTCATATTTGTGCACAAACCTATGGAAAACTCACAATTTGCCATGCCAATGATATTCCAGTTGGCTTCATTGTGCACCAAACTTCTGAAGATAGCACAAGGGCATTAGTCATTACATGTACTTCAAGGGTTTGAATTTTGTGTTGTGTAACAGCATACAATGAATTATGGGGCAGAGACAGCTCCACGTTTCACAATGACACATTATTTTAATTCACAATTAGACCTAGCCAAGTGTACCGTACACATGGTACATGTACAGCACATACATGGACATACATGTACACGAACATTTACCAGTATTATAAAAAAAAATAAGTCATCAGACCTGCAAATACAAGTACATGTACTGGTATACATGTACATGTACCCTACCGGTACCAGTGCCAACCAGAAGAAATCTCTATCAACTAATGGGAAAATTCTCTCACTTGCATACATGTACATGTATACATGTAGGGGTACAGTAGCTGGTGTACTGTTGGATATCTCCACAGAAATGTACTGCATGTACCGTACATGTACGTGTACACATGTATTGTCTGGGCGCCTAAAATGACGCGCATGTACATGTATAATGACGCGCCAACTTCTGATTTTGAATATTGCGGTGCACGCGTACAGACTTGGCGGACACTCGCACTCATTTGCAACATCAAATGTCTGACTACTTGAACACATATCCATAATGTGGAAAGTTAAGGCTTTACCGGTAAGTTTTGACATTATTGATAGTCACGTAACCAAAGTAAGTCAATTGCTAAATACAAATACTGCTAGGCCTATCTGTAACCGTCAAACAGTAATCATCAGCTGCAAGAGTTCAATGAAGGTGGCCCCCTGTAGTCCAATCACACCCAAGCAACATCATACAGACAGATGATGCATACAAAACGGCCTTTATTTTATTACCGAGCCCCAATCGAAACACATTTCTTATATAAATTGAGAAATGTCATTTAAGTAGATAAAGACCTAAAACTAAATTGGTCTGGGTGTGATGCAGTTAGGTACATAATATGGTTCTATTCTTGCAGTCTATCTGATGATTTAAACTAGGTAAATGAGTATAATGAACGTAGCATGTAAAAGTAGGCTTCGCAGGTAGGCCTAGTCTATAGGCCTAAATTTTCAGTAAGTTACCGCTAAGCAATATCCATTGCGTAACAGGCAATTAGTCATGTTTTTTTATCTTAAAAATGCCAACAAAATCCATTTTCAACTAGTTATTTATTGCTGGTTATTTTATATTTCAATTGTAGAACATGTGCCGAAGCCCCGAGAAATGGGGTAGTCAGACGTGCTATCGGTACAGGCCACACGATCTGACGGCACTCACCAATGTCTATTTATCTGTGCACGATTATGGTACATCTATAAGAGGTGCAGCCAGGAAATTCGGGGTTCCCGAAGCAACACTTTGTCGTCGTGTTGGTTGGTTTAGTCTGGGGTGCAACCAGTCCTAGCATTGGATGAGGAGGCACGGCTAGCTCGGCATATTTCATACATGGCTGCATGTGGCTACGGCTACAGCACAAGTGAAGTAATCTATTTAACTTCAACATTTGCCATAAGCCTACATTAAAAGAGATGAAAATCACCCCTTCAGCAAGGCATGGCTCAAGAATTTCATGGGGCGTTGGCTGGAGTTGAAACTCCGAAAACCTAGAAGTCTAGAAGTACACCGAGCTGAGGCAACATCACCGGTGGTAGCATCTTACTTCTTGGAGCTACGAAGCATTATGGAAAAGTACAACCTGACCACCGCCCCAGAGCGCATATACAACGTTGATGAAAAGGGTCTAAAGCAAGGGCACACCCTACCACGTATCGTCGGAGAAGCAGCAGCCAGGGCACTGCCAGCTGCAGTTTCTGGAAAAGGCTCCACAGTCACTTTCTACTACCCTTGCCATGGGGTTCCCTGCAAGCCGTCAACTGAGGAATGGTCAACTTGAATAGTCAGGATCAAATCTTGTTGTACAAGTGAAAATTACATGTACTTTGCATTTTACTTCTTCAGATGATCTTTTTCAAACATCTTTTTATCAGAAAAAAATTGTAAAACATCATTTTTGTTTGTTTTCTCACTTTCGTTTCTTTAGATAATTGTAAACATGTTTTTATATCTTAGACAAATCTTAAATACAATGTATATTGTCAATTTCGTACGATGTTGTTGTTAGTTATCTCTTCAAATCCTAATTGTAAAAGACGTTTCTTAAATAGTTCAAATAAAATTTCTTGTAAGTAGTTTATGTACATGTATGTAATACGCAATATGTAATAGGCCTACATATGCATGTGCTTAGAGCAATCTGGCAAGGGGGGGTTGGCCAGGGGGGCAAGGGGGGTGCTTAGGGAGATCTGAGGCCATTGCTTTGTCAATGATCAGCTAATGCACCCCCAGGGGCCCTCTGCCAGGAAGCACATTTGCAACTGCATGGGTGATTAACCACTTCATGGCGGGGCATTTTTCAATGTTGATGATGCTGGGTGGGCATGACTATCATTTTTTCGTTTTCAAAATCCTTGAAAAATTCATCATTCCATTTAACAGTCGTTTATAGCCGCACCAAGTATTCTTCAGGCACTACTCTAAGTTGACAGGTGACCTTCATTGACGCTCGGAGTATTTCAGCCAGGCCAGCAGCCTTGTAAACAGAAACCAGATTGTGCAGTGTTGTATAACTGTCTTTTGTTCACGAACCTGGCTCAGTGCACT